CATTGCAAGCTCTTTGCGGCACAGCTTCAGGCCCAAGTACAATCTAACGTCTGTCGGAACTGTTCAATGGCCTGAGCTCTCAATCATCAATGTCATGTTGACAGCGGAGCTCTCCTCTTGCGCCCAAGCCATCTTCAAACCAGTAACAACTGACAGGTGGGTCGCCCCATACTTACTCAGCCTTTCAGGTCGCTCACACCTGGTTCAGTCTTCAAATGCACCACAACTCGGACATCAGGAAGTTGAGGGTACCTAGCCTAACCTAAGCAACCTACATAGACCTATGTAGGTTTAGGTACCCTCGGGCTCGGGCAACCCTCGGGAGTTCCTGATGGACGGAGACTTGCGACTCGCTGAAAACGCTCCATTGACTTCAATTTCACCACAATTCACTGGCTGGAGCCTGGCGTGTGCTTTTCTTCGCTTTTCTGGCACAATGCAAAAGTCTGGGCTCGGGATCTCCCCTTTGACTTCGCTCGATTCCGTGCCGTTGGGATGCCCAGTCCGTTACAACTGCCATCTCGTCTCCTGTGTCGTCCTGTGCTAACGTATTTTGGAGTCCGAGCGAAGCACAGTAACTTGACTTGGGCTTTGAACATTTGAACCTTCTCAAGGTCCCTACCATCCAAAGGATAAAACCTTTAGCCTACTGGGCGTACCTCCGGGAGTCTCCATCGCTTGACATCCCGCCCCTTTCTGCCCTTTCAAAGATGGAAAAAAGTTGCGCAGAGCATGGCACACAAAGTTGACAGCTCTGGTTCATCGCAGTTGATCGAGGGAGTGGCAGCGGAGATGGCCGTTACAAGTTGAAATTCAGGTGCCTACCAGTCTCCACACTGCCACCCACTGACACATCTGAGGTTTTCTGATCTTAGCGTCCTGTAGACGCTCGACTTGATCATTACGGCTACATTATCGACTATTAGAGGACAAGTCGGATATGAGAAATCCGCCTCATCCGCCTCAGGCCGGACTCCGCCTCATACTCCGCCTCACACAAGTATGTTCCTTTACGGTACCTTGTGTTATATATATGCTA